ACCCTCTACCACCATCACAACCACTACCACCATTACTACCACCCTCTACCACCATCAATATCACCCTCTACCATCCTCTACCACCATTACTACCACCCTCTACCACTACCACTTTCGTACTTTTCTACATACTTTTTCTTGAATTATATCGTGTTTCTCACATTCTTTACCAAAGGGTTGGCACTAGAAGCTTTCTCTAGGCCCATGGTGGCTTATTTAGCAGTCACACACAATAAACAAGTGCCAAAAACAAAGGATTATTATGAAATGTTTCGTATGACCTGGCAGGATATGTTCACTCATTGAGAAACGCTATACTGGCTGAGAATGCGTGTGGGAGGCGGCTTTGTCTGCGCGCTGGGCACTGAACAGGTTCCGTACAATCGACGAAAACGGAGGTAATCAACAAAAACGGAAGCCAAAAATCAATGAAAAGTCGGCCAAAACCAAAATCAGCGATAACAGAGATTGACGAAAATGGAGGATCCACTGTAATTCTCACTTACTTTCCCAATGTAAATTATTCTCTTCCACTTCTCTTTTACTTATTGTATATTATTGTTTTAGCAAGCTCTCCTTCAGAGGGAGACAGTTTATCTACAGTTCTACAGAGTTCAGTTTTCATTATTAAACTTATTTTAACCCTTTGAGGGTTTCGGACGTACTAGTATGGCTTACGACCCAGGGTTTTTGACGTACTAGTACGCCTAAATTCTAGCGCCTTCAAATCTAGTGGGAGAAAGCTGGTAGGCCTACATATGAAAGAATGGGTCTATGTGGTCAGTGTGCACAGTCTAAAAAAAATCCTGCAGCACACAGTGAATAATGAGAAAAAAAACTTTGACCGTTTTTTTGGAATAAAACAGCGACTTTGCACTGTATTTTCGTATGGTATTTATTGTTGTATTCTAGTTTTCATGGTCTCATTTTATAGAATGGTAGACATATTACAGAAATTGAGATGATTTTGACTGGTTTTACAATGAAAGGTACCTTGAAATTGAGCTCAAAGTAGCAGAAATGTTCGATTTTTTCCAAATTTCAAAAGTAAACAAATCGTGCCAAATGTCCAATACACGTCAACTGGTGAGTCTAATATTCTTTCACAAGTGCGCCAATAATATTTATACCATTTTTTACACTAATGCAGTAGTCTGCATAACAGTAAATCTTATATTTTTTGTGAGAATAAAAATTCGAAGTGGAAAGCAAAAGAATACAAGAGAGGCCTTGAGACATGACTAATGACCAGAGGAAATGTCATTTTAGTGCCAGGAATGTCTTTCTTTTTTTTATTTGGACCCTATTCAGAAATTTGGCCCATCTTTTGAAATTTGTGTGAAATTGGCAAAATTGCTAAATTTCTGACCACTGTACTGGATAGCTGAATTTCATAAATGGGTGGTTTCTTGCACCCATTCGATAGAAAAAATGGAGTTCTAGCGAAAATATTCATGTTTTTATCGACTAGTACAGTGGAATTGGCTGAAAATGGGGCTCAAAGTGGGCAAAATTGCCGATGCGTAAAAATCGCCGAGACTGCTAACTTCGCGAGAGCATAATTCCGTAAGTTTTCCATCAAATTTCAAACTTTTGGTGTCCTTATGATCGGGAAAAGATTCTCTATCTTTTCATAAGAGAAAATTATTTTTTTTTTTTTTAAATTTGGCCGACCCTGAGAACGAGTTTCGGAGAGGGCCTGTCGACCCTCAAAGGGTTAAGGAGCAACTGAAAAAGAATTCTAAAGACCTTTATTCCTGTCTAATGTGAACCAATCATACTTCAAGCACACAGAAATAATATGTATATGACAAGAAAGATACAATAAACACTCAATATAACAGACTAATCAGTGGTGTCTGTTATATCAGAATGTTATCAAATAGCAATAAAATATGCTGAAGTACTCTACAGTATATCTAACATAGTACTGTACAGAAATATTGCAATAAACAGTGAAAATAAATAAGTTAATATTAAAGTTTGTTGTAAGTATCAGAGGTTTACTGTAACTGCTTTAACCCTTAAACGGTCCAAACGTACATATACGTTCACAGCAGCGCCACGAATTTTTTGAATTTTTTTTTTTTTTTTTTCAAAATATTTGTGGCACTGCTAGTGAACGTATATATACGTTTGGACCGTTAAGGGTTAAAGCAGTTACAGTAAACCTCTGATACTTACAACAAACTTTAATATTAACTTATTTATTTTCACTGTTTATTGCAATATTTCTGTACAGTACTATGTTAGATATACTGTAGAGTACTTTAGTATATTTTATTGCTATTTGATAACATTCTGATATAACAGACACCACTGATTAGTCTGTTATATATATATTTTTTTTATAGAAAAAAGAACACATTTTTTGACACTTTTAGAATAAAAAAAAATTAAGGTCAGTACTTACCGAGATATGAGGCCGAGAAGTTGGCACTGGATGCTCATGTGACAGCAACATCAAGTCCTGCCACTTCCAGAAGTGTTGCCAATATACTATTTTCCATTTTTCATATTATTTTATGTAATTTTTAGGTTCTGATAATTACAATTTGTAGTAGTTCTTGTCATTTTATAACCAATCTTTGTTCTGACACTAGTATTAGGTACTGAAATTGTACTCAAATTGTCACAAACACTCTGACAGGTGGACAGTTACACCTGCCTTAGCCATTCATTATTGTCTTGGAATATATACAAAGTATTTATATGTCCTAGCAATGTTTTGGATATGTAGAAGTATATAATAACAAGGAGGGAGGGAGGGGGAGGGGAGGGGAGGGGGGAGGGGGGAGGGGAGGGGAGGGAGGGAGGGGAGGGAGGGAGGGGAGGGAGGGGGAGGGAGGGAGGGGGAGGGGGAGGGAGGGGAGGGAGGGAGGGAGGGAGGGAGGGAGGGGAGGGAGGGAGGGAGGGAGGGGAAGGGAGGGGGAGGAGGGAGGAGGGAGGGGAGGGGGGAGGGAAGGGGAGGGGAGGGAAGGGAGGGGAGGGGAGAGGAAGGGGAGGGGAGGGAAGGGGAAGGGGAGGGGAGGGGAGAGGGAAGGGAGGGGAGGGGAGGGAGGGAGGGGGGAGGGGGAGGGGGGAGGGAGGGAGGGAGGGAGGGGAGGGAAGGGAGGAGGGGGGGGGAGGGAGGGGAGGGAGGGGAGGGAGGGGGGGAGGGAGGGAGGGAGGGAGGGAGGGAGGGAGGGGAGGGAGGGAGGGGAGGGAGGGGAGGGAGGGGGAGGGAGGGAGGGGAGGGAGGGGGGGAGGGAAGGGGAGAGGGGGAGGGAAGGGAGGGGAGGGGAGGGAGGGGAGGGAGGGAGGGGAGGGAGGGGAGGGAGGAAGGGGAGGGAGGGGAGGGGAGGGAAGGGGAGGGGAGGGGAGGGGGAGGGGGAGGGAGGGAAGGGGAGGGGAAAGGGGAAAGGGGAGGGGGGAGGGGAGGGGAGGGGAGGGGAGGGGAGGGAGGGAGGGAGGGGAGGGAGGGGAGGGAGGGAGGGGAGGAGGGAGGGGGGGGAGGGGAGGGAGGGGAGGGAGGGGAGGGGAGGGAGGGAGGGGAGGGAGGGAGGGAGGGAAGGGAGGAGGAGGAGGAGGAAAATAAGGCCTGGAGACATAACTAATGAACAGATGAAATATTTTTAAGTGCTAGGAATGTCTACGTTGTTTATTCTGGACTCTATTTTCAAATTGACGATTTTTGAATCGTTTGTAAAACTGGCCAAATTACGAATTTCTGAGCACTTTATTGTGTAGATGAAAGAGGTAAATGGGCAGTTTCTTGTACTCAATAGACAGAAGAAATACTAGTGAAATAGCTATGAGTTTGGTCAACTGGGACAATGGAATTGGCCGAAAATAGGGTTCAAAGTGGGCAAAATTGCCGATGCATAAATTATTATTATTAGTATTATTATACCTAGGTAGTAGGTTGGTAGACAGCAACCGCTCAGGGAGGTACTACCATCCTGCTAAGTGAGTGTAAAACAGAAGCCTGTAATTGTTTTACATGATGGTAGGATTGCTGGTGTCTTTTTTCTGTCTCATAAACATGCAAGAATTCAGGTACATCTTGCTACTTCTACTTACACTTAGGGCACACTACACATACATGTACAAGCATATATATACATACCCCTCTGAGTTTTCTTCTATTTTCTTTCTAGTTCTTGTTCTTGTTTATTTCCTCTTATCTCCATGGGGAAGTGGAACAGAATTCTTCCTCCGTAAGCCATGCGTGTTGTAAGAGGCGACTAAAATGCCGGGAACAAGGGGCTAGTAACCCCTTCTCTCGTATAAATTACTAAATTTAAAAAGAGAAACTTTCGTTTTTCTTTTTGGGCCACCCTGCCTCGGTGGGATACGGCCGGTTTGTTGAAAAAAGAAAGATTATTATTATATTCCAGGGGGAGCACTAAACCTGTAGGATTATGCAGTGCTTGTGGGGGGGGATGTGGAAGGTATTCAGGCTTAATTCGGGGAACTGGAGCATAGATCCAATTCCCTAGATTAAAAGCCCCTCACCAACGTCAAGGAACCTTCCTTGAGGGGCTGATGCGTAAATATCGCCAAGACCGTTAACTTTGTGAGACTGTAAATCCATAGGTTTCCCATCAAATTTCGTACCTTTGGTTTCATTACATTTGGAAACAGATTCTCTATCATTTCATTTGAATTTTTTTTTTTTTTAATTCTTTGACCCTACAAGCAAGTTTGAGATCAGGGGTCTCGAACCTTGAAGGGGTTAAAAAAGTCAAAAAAATAAAAAGCACAGGTAAAATAGTCAAAGAAAACAAGCATTTGTGATAAGCAACAAAAAATGTGTTTGCAACACGAAGAATCTTCATAATTTTTTAAGTAAAAAGAATTTTCTTGGTAAAAGGAATTTTCTGGGTGGCACAACAGTGTGAATGTAAGAGACAAGAGCACCCACATGATCTGAAGTACGTACATATCTCTTCCTCCTTCAGTCTAAATCTACACATACTGGACCGAAACTTGTAAAAACATAAACCACAAATACCAACCTTACGTAGCAGGAAGAACTGTCCTGAGTAAGGAGTGAGGATGGTAATCTGCTCTGAAGAATAACCTTGTAAAATAAGGTGTCTACACAATCCTGTGATAAACTCTGCTTCGTATTGGTTTTCATGGCTGTTGTTATCATCAGAGTCCTGGGAAAAACAAAACAAAAATTACATTGGATTGGTGATACATAATTTGAACACATATTTTGGGAAACAGAGCCTAAACAAATATGTGAGGTATGATACAGGGAATAATGGTGCCAGTTTTTTAGACTGTTTTAGTTAATAAAAGACTAATCAGTAGACTTCTAGATGTGCATGTTTCTAAGAGTGGCAACTGATATATCTGGTCACTATTTAGTATTAACTACAGTGAGAGTAAGAGACAGATGGGATAAAGGAGAATGTCCTCAGTAAGAGTGAACTAGTGAAAATTATGTACTAAGAGGAGAGAGTTAAGACATGAGAGAGGAAGGTGGCCTAGAGAATGTGGGTCCAGAGGGAAAAGAAGGGATTAGTGGAATGATGAGATAAAGATGATCATAAGTAGAAAAAAGTTACCATACGAGACATTTTTGACAACATAAAAGTGTTACATTGAGGATGGAGTATATGAAGAGAAGAGAGGAAAGAGCGAGTCAATGAGATTGGGTGGACATTTACCAACAAATTTTGTTGAGAGTAAGAGGAAGCTTTATCAACGAAGTTAGTTGTGAACAAAAAAATTTTGAAGTGACATTAATGAATAAAGAAATCAGAAACAGGTAGGGCATGAATCCATGGAAAGTGAATCCTAAAACTCACAGCCAAGTATGTTAGCCACTGGGCCAGCTGGCTCTATAAAGATTCACCCAACTAGGTATTTTCTATACACGATAGGGAGGTCAGCATAGGCCACCACTGTGACCACATATGCACTGGTCTGAGAGTTCAAGCCTCACTCGTTCCCTGATTTGTTTGCAACCATGCTAATACAATAATATATGTAATGAGTAAAGAAAACCTACAGATAAAAATAGATTTAGAGGTTTACAAACAAAAGAGAAGGAGACATTAGATGGTGAAGCAGAGATACTGAGAAGATAAATGCAATAATTTGAGTTGTTAAATGTTGATGAAGAAAGACAGTGACTTCTTTCTTGAGAGCTGCAACAAAACTCAGGCATAATACTACACACAAAAATCTTTACGACATTCCCAATGTCCAGCTTAATCTTTGCAAAAAAACTCCAACATGCATAAAAGGACCTAAAATCTGGAAAACACTACCTAAAAATTCCAGTCTCAGTCTCACTCTCAGTCACAGTCTCACAGTCTCACTCTCAGCCATGGTCTCACTCTCAGTCACAGTCTCACTCTCAGCCACGGTCTCACTCTCAGCCACGGTCTCACTCTCAGCCACGGTCTCACTCTCAGTCACAGTCTCACTCTCAGCCATGGTCTCACTCTCAGCCACGGTCTCACTCTCAGCCACGGTCTCACTCTCAGCCACGGTCTCACTCTCAGCCACGGTCTCACTCTCAGCCACGGTCTCACTCTCAGCCACGGTCTCACTTTTCAGCCACGGTCTCACTCTCAGCCACGGTCTCACTCTCAGCCACGGTCTCACTCTCAGCCACGGTCTCACTCTCAGCCACGGTCTCACTCTCAGCCACGGTCTCACTCTCAGCCACGGTCCTCACTCTCAGCCACGGTCTCACTCTCAGCCACGGTCTCACTCTCAGCCACGTCTCACTCTCAGCCACGTCTCCACTCTCAGCCACGGTCTCACTCTCAGCCACGTCTCACTCTCAGCCACGGTCACTCTCACCACGTCCACCTCTCAGCCACGTCCCCACTCTCAGCCAAAGGTCTCACTCTCAGCCACGGTCCCCACTCTCAGCCACGGTCTCACTCTCAGCCACGGTCTCACTCTCAGCCACGGGCTCACTCTCAGCCACGGTCTCAACTCTCACCCACGGTCCCCACTCTCAGCCCCGGTCTCACTCTCAGTCACGGTCTCACTCTCACCCACGGTCTCACTCTCACCCACGGTCTCACTCTCAGTCCACGGTCTCACCTCACCCCCACGGTCTCACTCTCACCCACGGTCTCACTCTCACCCACGGTCTCACTCTCACCCACGGTCTCACTCTCACCCACGGTCTCACTCTCACCCACAGTCTCACTCTCACCCACAGTCTCACTCTCACCCACAGTCTCACTCTCAGTCACAGTCTCACTCTCACCCACGGTCTCACTCTCACCCACGGTCTCACTCTCAGTCACAGTCTCACTCTCACCCACGGTCTCACTCTCACCCATGGTCTCACTTTCACCCCACGGTCTCACTCTCACCCACGGGCTCACTCTCACCCACGGTCCTCACTCTCACCCACGGTCTCACTCTCACCCACGGTCTCACTCTCACCCACGGTCTCACTCCCCACCCACGGTCTCACTCTCACCCACGGTCCTCACTCCTCACCCATGGTCTCACTCTCACCCACGGTCTCACTCTCACCCACAGTCTCACTCTCACCCACAGTCTCACTCTCACCCACGGTCTCACTCTCACCCACGGTCTCACTCTCACCCACGGTCTCACTCTCACCCACGGTCTCACTCTCACCCACAGTCTCACTCTCACCCACAGTCTCACTCTCAGTCACAGTCTCACTCTCAGTCGCGGTCTCACTCTCACCCACGGTCTCACTCTCAGTCACGGTCTCACTCTCACCCACGGTCTCACTCTCAGTCACAGTCTCACTCTCAGTCACAGTCTCACTCTCAGTCACGGTCTCACTCTCACCCACAGTCTCACTCCTCAGTCACGGTCTCAAATCTCACTCCCCAGTCTCACTCTCAGTCACGAGTCTCACTCTCAGTCACGTCTCACTCTAATCCCATGGTCTCACTCTCAGTCACAGGTCTCACTCTCAGTTCACGTCTCACTCTCAGTCATGGTCTCACTCTCAGTCATGGTCTCACTCTCAGTCATGGTCTCACTCTCAGTCACAGTCTCACTCTTAGTCTCTCTGTCTCTCTCTCTCAGTCTCAGTCTCTCTCTCTCTCCTTCAAAGCTACTGTTAAAAAACACCTTCTTTCCCAAATATAATACCATCAACAATTAAACATAACAATTCTTTCAACCTGTATTGCACCTGTCCTTGTCTATCATTCACTCAGTGTCTTGTAGCTCAGTTGATAAAACACCCAGCTCATACAATGAGTGTCAGTGGTTCTATCCCAGGTATGGGCTGAGACAACGGCCATGATTCCTTACACCTGCTGTAATTGTTCACCTAGCAGCAAGTACTGGAGGTCCCTGCTTATATGGCAGGTTAGGTTCAAGACTAGCGCCATAAAGCAAATCAACCTTTTATTCACTTTTAAATACATATAAATACTATCATATATTAAGTTAGCAATAGAATTAGACTTAAAAACACAATAAAAAAGTAAAATGCATATACAGATGCCCACAACTTATGAGCAAGTTATGTTCCAGAAGGCTGTTCATATCCTGAATTGTTCCTAAGTCGTTATTTTGCCATTTTTCTGTTGTTACTATTATTATTGTTTTTAATATTTTTTTTTTTTAACAAGTCGACCGTCTCCCACCGAGGCAGGGTGACCCAAAAAGAAAGAAAATCCCCAAAAAGAAAATAATTTCATCATCATTCAACACTTTCACCTCACTCACACATAATCACTGTTTTTGCAGAGGTCCTCAGAATACAACAGTTTAGAAGTATACTATAAGTATAAAGATACACAACATATCCCTCCAAACTGCCAATATCCCAAACCCCTCCTTTAAAGTGCAGGCACTGTACTTCCCATTTCCAGGACTCAAGCCCGGATAAATAAAATACCCGGTTCCCCAGATCTCTTCAGTAAATATTACCCTGCTCACACTCCAACAGCTCGTCAGGTCCCAAATACCATTCGTCTCCATTCACTCCTATCTAGTACGCTCACGCACGCTTGCTGGAAGTCCAAGCCCCTTGCCCACAAAACCTCCTTTACCCCCTCCCTCCAACCTTTTCAAGGATGACCCCTACCCCGCTTTCCTTCTCCTACAGATTTATAAGCTCTCCACGTCATTCTACTTTGATCCAGTCTCTCTCAATGACGAAACCACCTCAACAACCCCTCTTCAGCCCTCTGACTAATACTTTTATTAACTCCACACCTTCTCCTAATTTCCACACTCTGAATTTTCTGCATAATATTTACACCACACATTGCCCTTAGACAAGACATCTCCACTGCCTCCAACCGCCTCCTCGCTGCAGCATTTACAACCCAAGCTTCACACCCATATAAGAGTGTTGTTACCACTATACTTTCATACATTCCCTTCTTTGCCTCCATAGATAATGTTCTTTGTCTCCACATATACCTCAACACACCACTCACCTTTTTAACCTCATCAATTCTATGATTAACCTCATCCTTCATAAATTCATCCGCTGATACGTCAACTCCCAAATATCTGAAAACATTCACTTCTTCCATACTCCTCTTCTCCAATTTGATATCCAATTTTTCTTTATCTAAATAATTTGATACCCTCATCACCTTACTCTTTTCTATGTTCACTTTCAACTTTCTACCTTTACAAACACTCCCAAATTCATCCACCAACCTCTGCAATTTTTCTTTAGAATCACCCATAAGCACAGTATCATCAGCAAAAAGTAACTGCGTCACTTCCCATTTTGTATTTGATTCCCCATAATTTAATCTCATCCCTCTCCCGAGCACCCTAGCATTTACTTCTTTTACAACCCCATCTATAAATACAGTGAACCCCCGGTTTGCGATATTAATCTGTTCCTGAGAGCTCATCGTAAACCAAAATTATCGGAAAGCGAATCAATTTTCCCCATAAGAAATAATGGAAACCAAATCAATCCGTGCAAGACACCCAAAAGTATGAAAAAAAAACTTTTACCACATGAAATATTAAGTTTAACCCTTTCAGGGTCCAAGGCCCAAATCTGGAGTCACGCACCAGTGTCCAAGAATTTTCAAAAAAAAAAAAAAATTTGTTATTTTTTCTTATGAAATCGTAGAGAATCTTTTTGTGAAGGTAATAAAACAAAAAGTACGAAATTTGGTGGAAAATTGACGAAATTATGCTCTCGCGAATTTTGATG